AACGTTTGGAATCATACAATTAGGAAAATTCCAACTCACCACTGATTGCTTTTAAAGACTTCACATACACTAACATTTTTGTCATAAGACCCACATCCTGATGCTGTATTAGAAAGCATTGGAACATATGTGGACATACATGATTGGTCACACACACAAGCACACACATGACAGAAACAATACATTCTTATATTATACATAGTGCGTGCAATTACTTACACACACACATCACACATACATTCATAGATGTGAGTGCACGTGGATTAGAAACCTGACAGAAGCTACATTGTCTGGGATTTCTTTATTTCTTTTGAGACAGCATTTCTCTGAGTAGTCCTGGCTGTCCTGGAATTCACTCTGTAGACCAACCAGGCTGGCTCAATCTCAAGAGATCTGCCTGTCTTTGCCTCTCGAGTGCTGGGATTGAATGCATGTGCCACCACACCTGGCTTCTATCTGTAATTTCTTTTTTTTTTTTATTTTTTTCTTTTTAGTTACATTTTGTTAACTCTGTGTCCCAGCTGTATCCCGCTCCCTCATTCCCTCCCCAACCCCACACTCCCTCCCTGGTCTCCTCCCTGCCCCTTTCCAAGTCCACTGATAGGGGAGGACCTCCTCCCCTTTCATCTGACCCTGTTTTATCAGGTATCTTCAGGGCTGGCTGCAAAGTCCTCCTCTGTGGCCTAACAGACTGCTCCTCCCCGGGGAGGGGGGGGGTGTCAAACAGCCTGCCCTTGAGATCCTGTTAGAAATAGTCCGTGTTCCCCTTACTTTGGAAAACTACTTGGTTACTGAGCTACCACGGGCCACATCCGAGCAGAAGTTCTAGGTTATATCCATAGATGGTCCTTGGTTGAGTGTCAGTCTCAGAAAAGACCCTGTGCCCAGATATGTTTGGTCCTTGTAGAGCTCCTATCCTTTCCATATCATATTAACTTCCCTTCTTTCATATGATTCCCTGCACTCTGCCGAGGGTTTGGTTATGAGTCTTAGTGTCTGCTTTGAAACACTGCTAGGTAGAGTCTTTCAGATGCCTTTTGTGGTAGACTCCTGTCATAAGTTCAATGCCCGATCTCAAGCTGTACTACAGGGCAACAGTAATAAAAACTGCATGGTATTGGCATAGAAACAGAAAGGAGGATCAATGGAATCGCATAGAAGACCCAGAAATAAACCCACACACCTATGAATACTCAATATTTGACAAAGAAGCCAAATCCATTCAATGGAAAAAAGACAGCATCTTCAACAAATGGTGCTGGACCAATTGGATGTCTACATGCAGAAAAATGAAAATAGATCCATATTTATCACCCTGCACAAAACTAAAGTCCAAGTGGATCAAGGACCTCAACATAAAACCAGATACTCTAAATCAGTTGGAAAAAAAAAGTGGGAAACAGCCTAGAACTCATTGGCACAGGAGACAACTTCCTGAACAGAACACCAACAGCACAGGCTCTAAGAGCAACAATCAATAAATGGGACCTCATGAAACTATCTGTAATTTCAAAGACTGCTTTCAACCGTTCAGAAGGCAGAAGACCACACCCCAAATAGACAAACACCATGTGTCACCTTATGGTCAGTAATTACATTAAAGTGTTGTGAGGCATTGGAAAGGCAGGTGAATTCAGAGATGGTGTTGCTCATGCTAACGCATTTCCTAGAGCAGCATCAGCTACCCTACTTCTTACAACAGGACACTTGCAGATGGCGAAGGAGCAGCCTAACACATGGCTTTAGGGAGGAAAATGTCATCCCTGGAGATGATGGTTTGATAATATGTTTAAAAATTAAACATGCAGATGCCCTTGAGCCACTGGTGCCATTAGCCATTATTAGGAATCACCCTTTGCAAATACATACAAGGTATACAGAAACTCTATTCCAGGATACTCTCTTCAGCCTTGACCTTAACAACTGTAATAGAATACACTTCAGGATGCAGAAGTGGATTGCTCTGGGTGTGAACATGCAGTCTTGCTGAAGAAAGAGACCCTGAAATGTAAACACACAGTATGCAAGGGCCAAGGGAGCTGGCCAGGGAGAACTGACACAGCAGTCTGCATAATGTCAAGGCACGGAAGTGCGCTCCTTATAAACCAATTAAGTGTGTGGTGTAGGTGTGGGGGCGGGGGGCTCAGGAGGGCTGCCTGAAAACAAACCAACCAACCAACCAACCAAACAAACAAACAAACAAACAAACAAAAACAAACCCCTTCCAGAGATTGTCACATTGCTACTTTCCTTGATGCCTGACTTCTGGTAGTCAAGTACCACAGTCAGCAACCAACTGTGAAGTTTCCTTAAAAGGTAACAAAAGGCTGCCAGGGATTTGGCAGCTTGCTGAGGTATCTGGCAGTTGAAACACTGACCCAGTTCTCAGGATGGAAAGGAAAGTTGAGAAGTGTGTTTAAATCAATAAATTAGAAATGACTGACCTCATGTATGTGTGGGCATGTAAGGCTGGACCTCTGAGTTAAGTAAAATGCCAGTGCTTTGTTACGATGCTAGGAACAGCGAGGATGTATTTTCACTTGGAATAGTTTGATAAAGTGAGGATGTAGCTCTGGCTTGAGATGGAAATCTTCAGTTATATAAAAGAATATTTAACTTCCATGCACACTGTTCATCAGGTGATTTTGTTAACAGGAGGTTGAGATACTGCTGCCCGTGGAGTGCCTTCCAGCTTCCAGCTTTTGTCTTACTCTCTGGATGCTTTAAACAAGAGCAGGCCCCTCCCTGATTTCCGGGGTACTCAGTTGGATTGATGGCTTATGGATATTTTAGTTGAATTTCTTAGAGAAGTTAAGACTGTTAGATAAATGTGGCCACCACATTTAATTCATCAGGGCTTTAGATTAAAACTTACCTAGCTCTTTCTAAATGTGAATGCTACATGCATAAATTAAGACTGATAAATGGTCATAGAAACAAATAAAACATGGACGTGCTCCAGTCTGCTTTAACATCCTGTGACTTGCTCTGTAAAAGAAGTGACTCCACAGCTCACTCAAAACTTCTTCCCAGCCTGCTGATACTGTATTGCCCTGTATAAATGTTTTGGATAGCCAGATATGCAAACCAATCAGCTGAGCTTAGCCAGCTCCTTTCTGTAGGACTGAACCCTAAATTCAGTGACACCTGACAGTGTTGCACTGAGTGGAAGTGGTAGAAAAAAAACTCCATAAAAAACGGGGTGCTGAAAATAGAAACTACCTACGTAATAACTTTATCATGTGATCTTACTATCAGAAAAAGAGAGAAAAGAGAGAGCACCTTTTCCTCATGCATCATCATAATCATGTAATCCTTTTCTTTTTCTTTTAAAAAAGGGTACAAATAAACAATTAACAAGTCCTAGTACTTAATTACAGTTAAGTTGCACCAACTGTAAAATTGCTCTGCTTTCTTTTTGAGAATTGTGTGTGCTGGTTTAATCTAATGTGGACTGTTGCACAGTATCCCCAGGCAGTTAAGTAAAGGCTAAGGCTGCACAGAAAAGCCTGCATTTTAAATGGGTCTTGTCATTAATGCCTTATTAATTGCCCCCGGCTACACAAACCCAAAGCTGGGTCAGCTATAACACTATGACACATTAAGGTCAGATTCAATTCCCACAGTGTTTGATGCAGTGGGCCAAATATTGAGTGAACAGCAGGAAAGGTAAGTTATAGGATTTTTCTTTCCATCTCCTGATTATGCCACCTGGATTAGACAGGGTTTGTTTGTTTGGAATAATAAAAAAGAAACACTTTAGTTGACAAACACACGCAAAAAATCCTGAGTTACTTTTGGATGGTTCTTAATTGAAGCTACTGGTTATTAACAAAAACCTCCAGTACTAAGTAGAGGGTAGCTCCTTACTACTTGTTGGTTAGGGAGACCCCAGAAGGCTCTAAAACATTGCTTTTGCCATTCCTCTTAGTTGTACACTGGAACTAGATGATAAGATCCTATTGCTGAGGTCACCGCACACCTCGATTGCATGCTATAGAAAAATCAAGCTTGAACTGAGCTGGAAGCCTCCTCCAGCTTTTAAAGTGCTAGAAGATGACATACAAGGTGCTAGGGAAGAAATGTGGCTACAAGTTGCAATGCCAACCTCATCTTTTGTAAGGTCTTGTTCATTTGGGCTATGGTGGCATAGCTGAGAAGTGGCTACAACACTACTCAGACTGTGTTTAAGGCCCTTACCACAAGAAGGAGTCCATACCTGGTACTGTAAATCTTACCCAAAGTCCACAGTCGGGGCATCATAGGAACTAGTGAGGAGCTTAATTCTGTTGTTTAACTAGAGTGTGTCAAACCACCTTCTAAATGCATGTTTATATCCACTCCCAGCCTTAATCAAAGAAACCTGCCTTCCCAGTGAGCTGCCAAGAGGCAGAGACTTATGGCTATACAAGGTGCAGAGAATAAGTGAGGGCTGAGTGCTCAGTCCTAAGTAAGACATTTGTGCCATCCCCTCTAACACTGTGGACATAGGAACATGGTCAGAGCTAGAAGGAAAGGAGAAAGACTGCAAATACCTCTTCCAGGTAATTGCAGTCATGAACTTTGAGAAAATACCAATGACTACACCATGTCGGCACATGAATGGGCTCATCAACAGCCAGGATGGAGGGGGATCTCAGGGAGGTCTACCCTCATTGCTGAATCATTGCCTATGCGTTTAAGGAAAGGAGGCAATCATTTCTTTCAGTTATGGACCCACTATTGACCGTCCCACTAGGCTCCAATGGATATTTCCAATATACCAGTCATGAGGATGGCCTTGGTTACACTAAATGGGTCACACAACAACAACAAAAACAACAAAAACAACAATAACAAAACAACAACAACAGATTTTCCTTAAGATTAGATGTAGTATACAACTTTAATATGATGGAACAAAGTTGTAATATAAAATGTCATATATCTTTTTTTTTTTACTTAAAAATGCCAACTAATGTTAAAGTTCCATGACTATAAATGATAAATAAACTATATACCTTGACATCGGAGGTATCTCTCTGACTGGTTCTCCATGATCTCGAAATGGATGAGAAGGTTCGGTCTGGATGGTCAAACTTCCCATCATTCGCATTGAGGAAGAAGGTTGTGAATGGTTCCTAAGCAAACAAACAAACAAAAAAATCAGTCATTGGAGCATTTGAAACACATATACATACACAAATACATGTATATGCACACACACATGAACACATGTGTGTACATGTGTATATGTCCACTGGTATACATACACATACATATGTATATACAGACATGTACATACATGTGTACATATATATGTATACATGCATACATATATATGTATACACACAATTACCCCTGAGGCCTCCATAGGCAGAATACCGAGCCTTGGATAAAGGTCATTCCTACATATTACCTGCTCTCTTGGTCCAATGCAGAGGAAACCCCTCGCCCTTGCCCCTCTCTCCTTTGTGCTGAGGATTTGGTGTCTGGGTGTATTCTGTGCCATACTGTGAGTTCCCTTACACAACCTATACATACTAACACCACAATAAGGCAAGCTACTTACTCTGACCTTGTCCACTACAGTGGAGAATTAGTTTGGTGATGTCCATCTTGGAGTGGTTAAGGGCTACCCAAGCACAGATTTGACACCAGACAGCCCCAGGGAGCTCTGGAGTAAGTCTCAACTGTGCATTCTTAGTTCTCACACTCTTTTCTGCTTGGGCTCGGGGCTTAGCCGGTTGCTTTAGCTTCCGACCCTTAGTGTATGATATTCCTTCTGCAAGACGCAAACACCCTTTTCCCTCACTAGACACTTGCCCCTGGGAGGAATTTGGACTGACTGCAGTTCTCCTCCCTGTATGTTAAAAGTAGCCTTCCCAGACTCTGAGCATTGTTCACGCAGTTCCCTTGACTGCATTCCCCACTATGGAAGCGTCCCTGTCTATCTCATTCTCTATTTCATCTCCAATACTCAGCTTAACTCCTGGTGCATAAAGATTCTTCATGACATAATCCACTAAATAAGGAATGAACCAAAGGGAATGCAGCTGAGACTGGAAAATTCTAGTACTCTGTGACTGCTGCCTTTGATCAGAATTGTTAGCACTGTGTCTATCAACCGGGGCATCTTCCCGTAGCAGGAGCCCTTGGGATGACACCCTTATAAGGCCTGGGCATACATTCCACTTTAATGCCTGAGCTGCAGGTTTTATGCTGAGGGGGACAGCTTGCTTTTGGCATCATTAAATTTGCCTCCAAAAAGGGTACATAATATTCATTCTCACTAAGGATTCCTTACTTACCTACAAGCAGAACAAAGGCAAATGTGTATTTCCGCTGGTACATTTAAGCCTATTCTGTGATGATGGGAAGGATAAATGACAAAAATCATTCGAAAGTTTGATGATGTTAGTCTGCAGGATACTGTCCTAATTATTTGCCTCTCTTCTTTAATACATACCCCATTCCTTTCTTAATGTCTTAGATGTTCCCTTTGTCCCTTTACAGTCCTTGCTCTGCTACTAATCTTAGAGGGTGGCCACACAGTAGCAACCTTATTTACCCTTTTCAGGATCTTTCTGAAATTCAGTGTGAATAGTCATCAATTTTCTACATTTGTAATATATCATCCTCAGTTTTGGATGATAGAAAAGTGAAGTGGAAGGGACAAGACCATGAATGATAAACAAAACATAAGAAAAAGGGGGATGAGTTATTTCACCTGAAAATCAAATATGCAGGCAGAAGTTCACTCTTTTAAGATTTTAAGTTATGTCAGAGACAAGTGGATGTCACTAAAAATCAGAATAAAGACTGTCTGAGGTATCTCTCACATTAACTTGTTTTTAATTTACTAATTTTAATTTACAAATAAAAGTCAGATGGTAAATGTGGCATATATGATCATTAAATTAATAAAAATTGGACTATTAAAAAATTAAAAAATAACAGCAATAAATTGATCACTAAATTGAGCAAAATATGCCTGATTAGTTTTAAAATTTGGTTGTACAATTTACCTATCTCAGGCAAGTCCCTTTACATAACTCTGTCATGCCACTGCCTCTGTTACTTTGTTTCTATAAACTGATGCTGACAATAGTCTTTGGGGTAATTACGAGAATTGGATAAGATTAAATGAAATAACAAAGAGAAGGGTTGATATATCTTACCTGACACAAAGTTATCAAATAACCACTAGCTTTGTGCACCTAGACAGCAGCTGACTGAATCCCTCCAAAGACACTGCCCATCTTCCTTGCCTTGGAACCACTACAGACCAGAGAATTCCACCCTAGAAACATGGAGCTTTCTTTCCTTTTCTTCCCTTCACTCCATTTAATAGCCCGAACCAAACCCAATCATATGTAAGCAGGACAAAGGACAGATGCAGATGTGAAGGGATGTGGACCCTCACAGAGAGGGAAGGAAGCAGGTCCATGCTGAGCGAGCGCTTCCTCTGCTAGGTCTGTCTCTCTGGGCTGGCATGCTGCACTTTGTGTTCCTAGTAGGTGTGTGCAAGCAGATGAGCAGGTTCAAGGCCACACTCCCATGAAGTGGAGGCCTGAGATTAAATTTTCTCCTATTTCTTTTGAAAGAATTCAAAAGTAACTTTAGAATCAGTCACCATTTTCTATTAATTAACCTGTGTGCCACACTTCTGATTGCATATCACTTGTGTTCCTCTAAGTGAGCATGCTCTGTCCTAATGTGCCAGTATCCAAAATAGCCACACTGAAAAGCTTTACTCAGTTTGGTTTAACAATGATGTTTGTGAAAGTACGACTGATGTTTTTATTATAATGACACACTGCAGCTGAGTTTCCAGGTAAGATTTCTAAATTATCTGCAATCATTAAAGAACATTATAAATCATAAACAACACGTGTAGACATTAAAATTTTGAATGTTACCAATTTAACTTCAACTTAAATTATTGTTATTAAATGTCTGAAGAATTGGCTTAGCACAGAAGGTCTGAAAACACTGTGTGGACTGGAAAAACTGGTCACTGTGGGCTGTACTGGCCAGTGAGCACCGGGTGATTATTTTGGGGTGATGCTTCATGTCCAGAAAGAACAAAAGTCCAAGCACAATGTGTCTTGTATATTAGTTACCTTAAGAAATCCCACTTTTGAATGAGGGTTTATTCAGCATTTGTCTGGCAGCCTTCAATGAAATGGTCTTTCTAAGAGTGTGGCAAGTCAGACAAGTGATCTCACTGGTAGTTTGCATAAAAGAATATTCTTAATTTAAAGTAATGAGGTATGTAGCTAATTAGCATTTTTATGCAATTATCGTCATTGACATACTAAATTTATTGACTGATAAAGTATTTAATGACTTTAGGTTTAAAAGGCTTGAAAGGTAGAGGACAGACACTTTCTTTAATATGTATTAGATTTTATGAACTGATTCTTAATGACACAAATTGTAAAGCATTTTCTGCTTCATAAAGAGTGAAGAAAGCAAAGTTCCTTTGGTCTTCAGTTGACTGCTCCCTAAGCTGTTAGACCACAGTACTCTAGTACCTTGTCTCTGACAGCTTGCCATGAAACTGTTGAGCTAAATGAATCTTTATAAAGGCAACTCTAGATATCCATGTTGTCTGATACAGTAGCCAACAAATGCTATATTGTGCTAGAAATATAACATATTCTCTGGATTTCAAAATGAGTTCAAAAATATTAAACATTGTATAAATGATTTTTTTATTGGTAACATGATTAAAAAGTAACATTTTGGTTGTGCCTGGTTTAAAATTTATGGAACTAGTTCCACCTGTTTCCTTCCTTTTCTGGGGCCACTACAAGCTGTGGAACAGTCAGTCAGGCTTGGCTGTGAGGCAGCACTGCTTTGTGTGCAGGAAGGTTACCGTCAGGCCTCTGCACGTACCAGTTCTGGGTTCCACCCACTGGGACAGCAAGTCAGCCAGAGAACTGCTTGTGCTTTGTGACTAGAGAAAAGATTTAGCTTACTTGGAAGCAACAAAATATTAAATAAATTAGGTGCTTGGGAACAAGTGTGTTTTCTTTAAAGGAGTTTTGCCAGTCTGTCTCTCTTGACTAATTGGCATTCACAGAAAACACAAAACATCATTGTGACTATTTCAAGATGCAGTCAAACATTCCTTATTTAAGTCTCAAGACAGCCCAATTGATACATTCATTGTTGTTGTTTTTACAAGCAGTTCTGGGCTTTTTCCCATCTCCAAGAGACCTGACTGAGTCTCCTGAATCCCCCCCCCCCCCCCCCCCCCCCACACACACACACAGCGGTGGCTCACCAAGGCTGTGGCATCACAGACTGATGAGGAAAAAAATGGTGAAAACTTTTGGTTTCAATGTTTTCAAAAACTGTGTTAGTGTTGTGATTTTAGGGCTATTTGCGAACTGGAGTTGGACTAATTTGATGACTTGTGGAGGGCAGTTCATGGCCTGTTTAGGGGCAGCCACATTTTTTCTTGGCTCCCACAATAATCAGCAAATAGGAATTTACCTAGGCCCTGTTCCCCTAGCTCTAAAATCTGTGTTTCCTGTACTGATCTTTGTTTGTTTGCAGTCCGTTCATGGCTAGGCAGTCATTCTCTGGTAGTAGTGAAAATGACTATTAGTCATTTAAATGAAATTTAGTTTTGTGGCCTAATTACTGGCAAGCAGAAAGTTGAATTTACCGGTCATTTTGCTTTTTTCTCTGCTTTCCTCCTTCTGAGTACAAATCAATTATGACCACATTTTATGTCTGTAGCCATCAGTGCCCCTAAGTCTTGACTACTCAGTTCTGTAGTCTGCTCAGCTCTGTGGCTGGAGCCACAGGGTGGATTCCAAGAATTCTGTGTGAAACTCAGAGGACATGTTCTCTTGTGTGAAGGTGAAGTGCCCTCTGAAGCAGTGCAGCTCAGGCTGGTTCATGTAACTAGGATTGGCCACTAATTTTTTAGTGTCTAACAGTTAAGGTTTCTCTTAACTTCAAACTTACACAATCAAGCTGAATCTGAGAAAGATGAGACTAATTTAAAAACATTGGTCTAGAGCCTAACCAACTCCATGATAGGCTTCAGTTTCTTACTAGGCAGAGCAGGCTTAAGTCTGCATTCCTAAGAAATGATATACCAGTTACAGGAAACACACACACACACACACACACACACACACACACACACAGAGAGAGAGAGAGAGAGAGAGAGAGAGAGAGAGAGAGAAAGAGAGAGAGAGAGAGAAAGGGCAACTGATCAGAAACAGCCAAGACATCAGGCCAGGGGAAGATAATGCTGCTCAAGGCTGCCCACTACCAGCTTGAACTAGTCTGATCCAGTTCAGAAAGCCACTAACTCCTGACTCAAGCCTTAGCTAATCCTTGATGCTGTCATACCCTTGCTTCTAATTTGCACCAATCAGAATAATGATCTGTCAAAAAAAAAAAAATATATATATATATAAAAGCTTGGTCTAAAAAAGAGATCACAATTTTATATCTTTACTTGTGGTTTGTAAGTAGACAGTTGGTTTCTTAAGGTTTGGGTTTGTTTCATCAATATGTTAGCTGATCTAAAATTAAAGATACACATCAGAGGGTTCTTTACGACTGATTTGAGGATACTGGGTGGGGCAGGGTTAGGGTTAGTAACAAAGTGCCCGCTCAGCATGTGGTAATCCTCAGCTCAAAAATAAGTACATGAATTTAAGTAACTGGCTTCCTAACCCAATTCTACAAAGATGATCATACAGTTAAAAAAAAAAATCGAAGTCAAGCGTGGTGGTGCACATCTATAATCTGCACATATCTGTTGTATCTGTAATCCTGCTCAGGAAGATCACAGACTTGATGCATTCCTGTGCTCCATGGCGTTCATTTTCTGCCGACTGTTCTCTAGTTATTAAAACAAACACCAAATATACTTGATTTTCATTTAATTTACTTACACTGCAAACTCTGGAACCACAGACAGCTGGGTTCAGATGATACTTACAATTCGAACGAGCCACGATAGCGCAGAAGTCGCTGTTGAGTAATGTGTATTATAGTGGTAGGGCGGGCTTTGATCGTCTTCCCATGTCTCATAGCGCTCTGCGTAAAACACTGCTCTCTTTGGGTTCAAAGCACCAATTGGCTGTAAAAAGATAAAAGAAATGCTCTGTTCCATTCAGTAACAGCAAACATCCTAGATGTCCAGGCAACACCATGAAAGCAATTCAGCAGTAATGGACTGTTCTGTATGGCTTTTTCAGTGAGCGGATTCAGTATTAATTACTAATCAGTGTACTTGCTAAAAACACACAGGGAGAGAGAGCACCTGAGCAACGTCCTAGACTTAGCTGTAATTCCAGAAAACTAGGTTCTGAGGGTGATCTGGGTTTTTTTTTTTTAACTTAAATGTTTTTATACATTTTTATTCATGTTCTTACACCTTTCCCAATCCTTCCTATATCCTTCTCATCTCCCTAATCAGCCAATTTTATGTTCTTTTTTGCTCTCTCTGTCAAAACTAAACTAAAACCAAAAACCAAAACAAGCAAGGAAACAAAACCAACAAGACAAACACAAACAAACAAAAAACTGAGAGCGATTAGGTTTTACCAGTTCAGGTCAAATTAGAATTTTCATGCTTCCTTAGCACACACGATGGAGACTGAGCTTGGCAACCATCATTAAGACAGCTTTCTATATTGTTGTCTTTGCTGAACTCGTCTTTGTATGTCTTTCCTATTTGCCAAGCTTGGTGTCTACCGTGTATGCAATGGAGCCAAAGTCCTTCACAGGAAGCACAATTGGAATGCTGGTCCTGTTGTTACTGCCCAATTGGAGCACCTATGTTTTTAATTTAAATGGCCAACTAAATAATGAGGACTCAGATTCCCATCTAGGTGCTTTGTGAGGCCACTATGACCTGTTCTATCAGAGCTCTAGAGAGAAACATGGGATGCTTTCTTCCCTTCAAAAGCAGATGTTAACTGTCAAACCGTGGCTGAAACCTTAGCACACCCAGTCTTTAATGATGCCAAGCACATCCTCATTGTCTAAAATAAAAACATGATCACTCCAAGGTGTGGTTGAGGGAGAGTGCAGGCAGAGGCATCTGGGTGAGTCCAGAGCAGGGCGGGAAAGTAGTAGACTGCATGTGGCTAGCAGAATGGACAGTGCCTTGAGAGGTGAGGGGCAAGAGGGGGAGTGGAAGAGAAGAGAGGAAAACGAGAGAGAGACAGAGACAGAGAGAGAGAGCATGTACTTGAGATGGGGGCCAAAAGTATGTCTGGACATAAATGGCAGGGTCATACAGGGATGAGAAACTGGGGTAAAGAAAGCCCATGAGCTGGAAAAGTTGAGGGTAGAGGCAGGGTGACGAGAGCTGAGGAGAGCCATTGGTACAGAGTATGCCTGGAGGACAGGCTGCGCTTTGGCATGCTAACAGGCACCACAGATAGCCTTTTGTCCCCAGTTTCTTTTGGATCTGACACTCATAGGCACAAATATCAAGCTGCCTTAGTTCAATTTTTACGTCTGGTTTTGGTGTCTTCATATACGGCACCTACACTTATCAATTAGATACAAGTTATTGTTTTAAGCTGGTACTATACAAATAAATGTTTACATGGAGAATGAAAGTATTAAATATATCAGTCTTTACCTCAAAATTTAATATTACCACTTAAGTAAGAAGTTCCCCAAAGGCTTAACATTAAGACAAGTCATAGAAAATTAGTGTTTCAATAGGACATAAAATGTTACACAAATTGCTGTGAGCCTTTTCTTTTGGTCCCAGAAGACTAATTTAAACCACACAATGATGTCAGCAGTTCAGGCTGCTAGAATTTCCATAATAAGCTCTTATTTGTAAGAATGCTTAGCCTGAATACTGAAATTATTTGTAAAGTATATTCCTTCTATGCTAGCCTTTATTATGACAACCAGGATTAAAATACTTATTTACTTTTTAAAAGTTGTGTTTCTTGGGGACAAGAGTATTAATATTTTAAAGTTCCAAAACCACTGATTCCCAGTATCTAAAACAAATGCAACTTTTGTGTTTGATGAAAGGACAAGCACTATCAAGTGGAACAGACAGAAGTTATATAGTGAACTTGATCCAGACTCCTCTAGATGCCTAGACATCTTCCTAAATCAGTGAGCCACTTTCTGTGCTGAATGTGCTGCTGGACCTTTCAGTTGCAGAAGAGCAGCCTGCATAGAAGGACTAACGTTATACTGATATTGTTTGCTCTCTAAGATCCAACAAGATCATGGAAGAAGGAAATGGCCAGTTCTCTAATCTCTTCCAGTTTTTTTCCCTCAACTACCTCTAAAAGATAAAATAAATATTTACATTTTCTAGTTTGCTATGGCTGAAGTCTATTAGAGTGTTTGCTGAACCATGCTCTGAATGAAACAGCTACAGTGTATTGAAGTCTGCAAACCTCTCCTTTACTACTTAAAATATGTTTCTGATTTGGAATTTTACCTACTAAAGCTACAAGTAAATTATCTGAAATAAAGTGTACACAATTTCACTTATACTTACCACTTTAATAAAAATCATTTTGTTTCTAGTAGTCAAGAAACAAGTGTTTTTAACTATATACTAGTATATTTTGTTTTACTTTTTTATTATTTATTACAATTTATTCACTTTGTATTCCAGGTGTAGCCCACTCCCTCACCTCGTCCCAATCCCTCCCTCCCTCTTCTCCTCCCATGCACCTCTCCTAGTCTACTGATAGAGGAGGTTCTTCTCCCTTTCTATTTGACCCTAGCCTATCAGGTCTCATCAGGACTGGCTGCATCATCTTCCTCTGTGGCCTGGCAAGGCTGCACCCCCCCCC